TTTCAAGTAAGGAATATGTGGCTAAAATTAATTTTCTCTCCTCTGCACAAATTTCAACCACACAATTTTTACTTTATTAATCCGCGTGAAAGTCGACTTTGGCCAACCCCGGACGCAGAAGTACATTGTTTAGAAATTGCCCAATATAGGAGTAAACATAAACATAATTGCACAAATAGGAGTAAAACTTAAAACTTCCTTCAATTGGAGTAAACATTAATTTTGTACCCTTAATATCCCTAACCTAGTTAATTCTAAAATATGACTTATTTAATCTTAACCTAGTTAATTTATGACTTATTCTATAATAATTATTTATTTATTTATTTTTCAAAAAATAAAAAAATATAAAAAAATTTTAAAAAAAAATAAAAAACTCAAAAGAATAAAATAAAATTCACCTCCGCCTCTGCCGCATCTGCACCACCACCTCTAGTCAACAAGGGAAAAAATGCCAAGTTCATTACGAATGTCATATTTATGGCAGAAAATAATGAAAATGTTGTCATTCTCAAAGAGAAATTTGCCATGTTTTTGGCATTTTTAGAAAAAATCGCAGGTTTTAGGAAAAATAGAAGTTTTTTCACCTCCTGGAGGTGGTGGTGCAGGAAGGTTGTACAAGCGGTGGGAAAGACATCCATATATTTTTTAATTTTTTATGGAATTTTACAATTTTTTATTAATTTTTCAAAAAACTAAAAAATTTAAAAATATATATATATTTTTAAACCTTTTATTTTATTAATATTTTATAAATTTTTTAATTATTTTTCTACGAATTTTTGATTTTTTCCCGAATTTATTATGAATTAAACATTTAATTAGAAGTTGTTGGGGTTTAGGGCTTGGCAGGGACGGATCCAGGATTTCGAGTCAAGGGGGGCGAAACTTTTCGTTAGTGTAGGAGATAAAAAAATTCATTAGTGTAACGGGGCGAATTTTTTTCCCTAGTGTAGCGGAGCGAAATTTTTCACTAGTGTAAGGCTCTGCGGCTATTTTTATTCAAAAAAAAAATCATTAATACATACATGACGACATTTAAATCTATATATTACATTCTAAGTTTAGACAATGACAAAATAACTTTAATTTTATAATTGGAGTGCTCTAGAAAAAAGTATTGATACATTAAAGCATAAGAAATGACAAATCGATGGAAAATAATACAAAAATAAAAAAAGGATATATAACATTTTATTTAAATATAAAGAGTTTATAAGGTACACATTCACCAGTACTTTTAAAATAACTTCAATATTGTTTAACTACATAAGTCTTACAGAAATAAAGAATTGATTTTTGAATTACAATTTTTGTCTACCATGGAGGGTGTTCATAAGTCACAAGCAGCTCTTTTAATATTACAATAGTATGTATGATATTATTATTTTTAGAATAATATTATATTGCTAATTCATATATATATTGCATATTATATTTGTATTAATGCTAAAATAATTAAAGTTTATTATCTATGCAATAAAGTCTTTTTAGAACGTAAGAAGTAAATGAATAGTGTAATTCAATGTCAATAAACATTTATAATTTGGATTCACTTCACATGATCTAAAAACTTTGTAGTTAGAGTGTCCGGTATTTAATATCGTTTGATATATATTTTTCAAAATTGTTTACTAGTTATCGAATAAAGATAATTAAACATTACAAAACTAAGAATTTTTATATAATAAGTATCCTAAATCTCAAATAATGAGTTCTTCTATTGTTTATTCAAGTTATGTAAATTATTTTAGATGTTCATTTTTTAAATCTCCAATTAAGTATTACATTGTGAAAGACTATATATTAATTTTAAAAACTAAAAATTAAGGGGGGCAATGTTCAACAAAAAGTTAAGGGGGGCGAATTGATGGAATATATGGACTTCGACCCCCCGGTCTGCCGACTACTGGGCCTGGACAGCGGCCCACTCACGTTTAGCAGATATCATTCATATTATTGTACATTATTATTGTTATTCAGATGTTCTAGATTAGCTTTTTATACTATCAGTCCATTTATGTAACCGGGTCTGTCAGGCCCATATTAGAGGCCCAGACCCGGATTTTCCCTATATATACTCCTTTAGGAGGCTACACACAAACTCACATTCAATACACTTATCTTCTTCTTCTTCTACATTTTCCTACTACATTCTTGTTCAAATCTCATTTTCATATAATATGGGTATCAATTATCCAACAATGGTGCTCTCGTTGAGAGGTTTGAACACAATCAAGTGAGAAAATCTCCCCAAAAAAACAAAAATCTTCTCAATCACAAACAATCAGTCAAGATCTTTCTAAGAGTGCAAGAAACTGTTCTGGAAAATCAAAAATTAATCAAGGAATCTGGAAAATCCCGGAGGGAGGATGTCGCTGTCTGGAACACATTCGTCGGACTCTTCCGCCACCCATTCTCTACACAACTCCAACTCTTGTGGGTGCCGTTTGTTCAGCATCGCGGTTGCCGAAGGTTTTCCGACCAGATTTGGGCCAGCCCAGATCTGACCTGCAGTGGAGAGATAGGCACAGAGCGAAGGCCATCAAGTATTACCCTCCTAGGTAGCTTGACCGCCTCACGTCCGACAGGTCGCTTCTTCTAGCTCCGTTTCAGCGCCGGCGAGCTCACGGTCGCTCCACCAGCACTCCGGTCGCCATCCAATTCTGAAAAGTTCAGAGAGAACACAAATGGGTATGGAATTTCAAATCTGGACTTCTTGTTGAGCAACTAGACCATACGTCCATACACTCCCAGCCAGAGATATCATCACTCTGCCGCCGCGCTAGTCGCCATCGCATCTCTAAGAGTGGCAGATCTGAACTCCACTGCTGACCCGACTTGAAGGGTGTATCGGTTGAAGTCAGTGCTGAGGAAGCTTTAATTCGCCGGTGCTACCGGAGCTCTAGCAATCCGCTCCTGGTCGTTTTCGCCTTGCCGCTAGGTCCGCCAGAGGAAGCCTCGCCGTCGGTATTCCCTGGTAAAGTTCCACCATCACTGTCCTCATTCACTGTTGGGCTGCTCCCTTGGATGGGCTACCGAACATGTGCGTGGTGTGCCCGCTCCTGCTTGCCTGCTTCGGATCTTGGTCGCATACGAGGCTGAAATCTCTGCTAGTGCCCACTTGCCAAACATGACACCTGGAAGAGGTTTGGCAGCTCTTCATCAACTATGTCAAATTTAAAAGCTGTCGGGACTCCTCAATATGGAGATAGGCCCATAAATTAAATCATACCCCATCATCAAGGAAGATCAACTCCAAGCCCAAAGACTTATTCTCAATCATTACATCACACTTGGAGTCCAGCCCGCTTAAAAAAGATAAGTACTCTTTAATTTTAATATTTATATTTATTTTAATCAATATTTTTTGTCGGGTCAATGTCACACCATCACGCACTTATGATCAAATGCCTAGTAGACTATGGCTTGAGACCCATCACTAGGATTTAAAGCCCTGACTCTCAGGCACAAAGTCCTGACCAAGTCAGACACAAAGCCCCGACCAAGTCGGGCATGAAGACCGGTCTTAGTCATTCCAAGAATGGCGACCGTTGCGTACGAATGGCTCACACATCCACTCTACTAAGTATTTTATCATTACATCGACAATTCACATTTCCACTTTTTTCAAGTGACGAACTCCCGATCGGAAACATAAACCCCAAGGAAAAATTTTATATGCATTTTAAATGTGTAGGTACGAAAATGACTTTACTCATTTTTAACCTCGTCTCCACTCGCCTCAAGGAGTGGGGGACTGGGGGATTGAGAGGTCAGATTTTCTGGATGAGCAGCAGATATCACGCATGAGCAAGAACGAGAGCTAAGTCAGATGAAGACAGGTTGAGCTACACAAAAGTGATTATGCTGGAGGGGGCCTCCCTTCCTTGTTTCATGTTGGGGGCGTTAGGTGTACTCTTTTTCCCTTTATTAGGATTTTTTCCCACTGGGTTTTTTCCTAGTAAAGGTTTTTAACGAGGCACCTCCCCATCATGGACAAGGGTGGTGGTCCCCGGCCGAAGGGGAAGGAATCAAAGACAGAAGAACATTGCAGATACAGTTTCGACTACTCCCTTTCGCCTCGAATACTCTCGACTCAGGGAGTGGGGGACTCCTGATGGAATATATGGACTTCGACCCCCCGGTCTGCCGACTACTGGGCCTGGACAGCGGCCCACTCACGTTTAGCAGATATCATTCATATTATTGTACATTATTATTGTTATTCAGATGTTCTAGATTAGCTTTTTATACTATCAGTCCATTTATGTAACCGGGTCTGTCAGGCCCATATTAGAGGCCCAGACCCGGATTTTCCCTATATATACTCCTTTAGGAGGCTACACACAAACTCACATTCAATACACTTATCTTCTTCTTCTTCTACATTTTCCTACTACATTCTTGTTCAAATCTCATTTTCATATAATATGGGTATCAATTATCCAACACGAATCTAATTAAAGTATCAAAATTTTACAAAAATATTACATATATAGTAGAAAAATTTGAAAGTCCAAGGGGGGCGGTCACACCCCCCCCCCCCCCTCCTTAAATCCATCCCTGAGGCTTGGGTAGGGGTATACTTGTCCAAACACTAAAGTTACTCCTATTCAAAACATGATACTCCTATTTTTTCATTTTGCCTATGTTTTGCTCCTATTTGGGGAATTCTGTCTACATTATTTAGGGGGTGTTTGGAACTGATTCTGATTCTGCTTCTTTTTTAAAACAAAAGCAGAATAAGAATTAGTTTTCATAAGCTGGTCACCCCAAGCTTCTAAAGAAACTGATTCTAGGAGTAAATTAGAACACCAAAATCACTTCTGCACTTTTATCCAAACACTCCAACTTCTGCTTCTGCTCCCTGAAAGAGCAGAAAATCAAATCCAAACGCCCCTTAGTTTTTTTTAGCTCCCTCGTCATTGACCTGAAAAAGTTGAAAATGAGCAAGATTATGCAAATGTGTAAAGATTACGGAAATAGACGCTCAATTTATGCTTAAACTTTATGAGAGTACGTCACTCACTGTAGGTGTCATCTTAGGATGTACAGTGTACCTGGCCGCCCTGCGAGAAACATCCAAGTTTCAATTTCCCCCCTTCAACTCTGATGATAAAGCTGGAGAACGGTTTGTCATTACCCTCACCGCGCTCGGCCTCTCTGCGTCACCCACTTAGCAGTTCGTCACATTTTCTGTATATATATACATGGGCCATCTCCGGAATGGGGCAAATATCGGTTCAGCAAATGTTAGTCGGTTCTCAAAGTTTTTTTCTTTTCATCCCATTTTCTCTCTGATTTCTGTTCTTTCTTGCATGAAAGGAATTTTTTTCCTGACAAATTCTGATTGTCTGTGTTGTCTTTGTTTGTTCAGAAGAATCTTTTTGAGGAGGGGCTTTGGTGTTTATCGAGCTCGAGCTGGCTATGGCGATCAAGGAGTCGTCTTTTGAGAGTTCTGTAACAACTCCAGTGAGGGTCAGTGAGATCACCGAATGTGGTGATGAGAACAAGAATGCCATGAGCTCTGCATCAATTCAGGAGCTACGGAGGAGAGGGGGTTTGAAGGAAGCCGTCGGAGATGCGGATGTGGTGGACTCCTCCGTGAATTCGGTGGAGGCGGCTGAGGATAGGAGTGAGATCGTAAGCGTCGATGGAGGGTTGGAGTCGCAGAGGAAATCTGGGGAAGAGAGCGGTGATAAGCAGGTTGCTGGTGGCGGAGGAAGCAGAGGAGCAGATGATGATGCTACGTCGTTTCAGTACTCGTTTAAGGCTTCTTCAAATGTTCACCGTCAGATTAAGGAGAGTCCTCTCAGCTCCGACGCCATTTTTAGACAGGTGTGTGCATTTTTTAAGCTTACAATTTGAGTCTCTATGAACTTTTTTGCTGAACATGTTTGTGCAAGCTTTTCTTTACTGTGGTATCTTTTACTGTATGGAAAAGAACTATGCTTTGGTTGGACGCGACATTTTTGCACTTACCCCAAAGGGGCAAATAGAAAGTTTGGAGCTTGACATATATCCCATCAATTAGAATTTTTCACAATTTCTACTCCAACCGTTTACACCATCCTTATAATCCATTTTGTCCTGAAAAACTCAAAGATTTGAGGAGCGGTGCATGAACAGTGCCAATGTGTTGCATGCTTCGACCAAGAACCGTGCATATTCTGCTATTTTTTCTAGTGTGGTGCATGCTACTGTTGCTTGATTTCATATTTGTATGGACTAGCACAGACTACCCTTTATGTAATACCCACCACACATAAGAAGAAAGAAAAAAGTTTGTGAAAGAATAAACTGAAGTATGTAGATCCTTTTTGTGCCTTTTATGTTTATGATTTGGATTGTTCCGAGTTGAATTTGGAACAAGAATTATCCTTGCAGTTGTTGTGTTACCGTATGGTCTTTCACAATCTTGACAATTGTTTCACTTTTGTAACAGAGCCATGCAGGTCTCGTCAATCTGTGTATTATTGTGCTTGTTTCTGTAAACAGCAGGCTGATAATTGAGAATCTAATGAAGGTTTGCCTGTAATGATATTTCCATTTTCAACTTGCATACGTGAACATCGTCATAAATAGATACAATACCAAATAGTTGATTATCCTTATGAAACTGCATTGCTTTATTTGGAATCATAATATCATAATATATAAGAGTTGAGAAAGTATAGACACTGAACTGACAAATGACAAACTTATGACTACAATGCAGTATGGGCTGTTAATTAGGATGGGCTGTTGGTTTAGTTCAAAATCCTTGAGGGACTGGCCAGTTCTAATGTGCGGGTAATTTATCTACAACCTTCTCCGTGGAGTTCTTACTCTATTTAGAGAATGTTCTTGTGATCTCTCTGGGTTATGTTTGCGTTGCAGCCTCAGTCTCGTGATTTTTCCAATTGCTGCTTTTCTTGTTGAAAAGCTTGTCCAGAGGAAGTACATAACTGATCTAGTAAGTCAGAGCTAATAGTTTATCTCCTTTTCGACTTCTATGTATTAATGGAAAGTGCCTTAATATATAGTGAGATGTAATACAAAATTTTTCAAAGACTTGTGTAATTACTTTGGGTCCTAATACGACTGTAATATTGCAGGTTGCAGTCACTTCACATATACTAATTACAACTGCTACCATTGTATATCCGATTCTTGTCATTCTGTGGTGCGCTTTATGAACTTTTGATATCTACCTACCTCCTCTAGGAAGGGATTTTGGTCATATTTAGTTATTTTCTAGTTACTGTAAAGTTGAGGTTTTATTGAGCAATTCATGATGAGATTCTAATACACATTCCTGGGAGGTGGGTGCAAATTTTTATTCTCATCTAGTTTTAAATTAATAAATTCTTGATCTTTGAACTGCCCAGGTGTGATTCTGCTATTATATCGGGTGTCGCATTGATGCTTTTGACTTGCACCGTATGGCTAAAGTTGGTTTCTTATGCTCATACAAACTATGATATGAGAGCACTCTCAAAGTCTTTTCATGAGGTACTGCATCAACTCTACTCATTTGTTCAGCTAACTATATGCGGTAGTGGTTTGCATTTATTGCCCAGTTTTACTTTTTCAGAAACAAAGCTGGAGTGATTCAGTTACATAAATACTACGTTTTGTTCGACACTTCTTTTTGTGGAAAATACATAAAAAACGTGATTCATTTTTTGAAACATGACTTTCTTTTGCTACCTATTCACTCTGCTGCTTGCAAGTGAACATGACTCTTTTAGTGGGACGGATGGAGCACATGTTACTTGGATCAGTATAAGTATATAAATATTTCTTTTGTTCACTGGGCATCATGATTCATGACATCATATTGCGGCAAGCTTCCATGAATCTACTCAAAATCATTCTATTTATTACCAATTTTGTTTCATTTGTCATGCTGCCTATTCACACTGCTGTTCGCAAATGCTATCAGTACTTATCATATTGTGACAAGCTTCCATGAATGTACTCAAAATCATGCTATTTATTGTTACCCAATTTGTTTCATTTGTCATGCTACCTATTCACTCTGCTGTTGGCAAATGCTATCAACACTTATAATTTTGTGGCAAGCTTTCGTGATTCTACTCAAAATTGTGTTATTTATTACATACTACGTAGTATATACAATTTGTTTCATTTGTCATGCTACCTATTCACTCTGCTGTTTGAAAATTCCATCACCACTTACAATAGTTTAAGCTTTGCGTCATTTTTACGTTGTTAGGTTGAATCTTCTAACATGGATTGCCCTTATGAGGTGAGCTTCAAAAGCTTAATGTACTTCATGGTTGCTCCAACACTATGTTATCAGGTGAGACTACCATGGTGCCTTGTGAATGAACCTTTTTCTATACTCCATATATTTCAATACTCAAGGTTTGGGTGGATAGAAAATAATTATAAAAGGAATGAAGTGAAAAGGAAAGAAGAGAAGTAGAGAAGTATACATTGTGTATCGAATGAAGGTGATGTACTATGAGGCAGAGGAAGGGGGAATTTCTTATGCAGTTTATGTTAGGAAAAGTCTTCGGAAAATATCGTCCATTTTCCATGTCTAGTTATTTAATAATGTCTTCATTTTCATTTACCATTAAAGTTATGAAGGTTAAATAAAAATAGTTATAAAGGATATTCAAGTTTATTTATTTTCTGTGTTACTTCGTCCATCCTAGTATAATATGTAAAAAGTAGATTTGTTAAAATTCTCATCTGGTTACTCCTATTTTTTCATTTTCTGTTTTGCTTTTCCCAGCATTATCAATCATGTAGAAAACCTGAAAGCATAATTAAAATTTTCTTCGAATTCATTCTCCAATTAAGAAAATAAAGGCCGAGTTGACTAACACAATTTTCAAATAAAGAATTTAATAGTATTTTTTAAATACACAAATTGTATGAATTAATATAAATGAAGAAAACGAAAAGGATTGAAGGAGGCAAAAAGAATAATGAAATAAAGAACAAAGAAGGAACGATGTTGGCCCCAGGAGTCTAAGGGTTGCTCTAAATGTTCTCCACATGGAAAGATTTGGTATAAGGCATTTATGATATGAAAAAACGGTGAAGAATAGTCAAAAAGAAGAAGTTATAAGTAGACACCATGTCTGCTCCAGTCTCTTTGTTTTACTAACTAAGCTAGTCTTATTTTCCCCCAGTTTGAAAGGGAGTATATTTGATGGGGTATAGAATCATTTCCTCCCCCACTTACTTTCTTCATTTAATTATCTACCCTACTATTTTCTTAATTTTTCATATATGAGAGTATAGTTTCACTCCATCTTCTATTTATACATATCCCAGCACAATATGAATCATGTATGAAATTGTAGATCCATTATTGCTTCCAACATCCTATTGAGAGTAAGTTTATGTATTTAACAATGTTTATGGCGGTGGTGCATCAAAATTATTAAAAGGAGTTGTTAACACACCAACAAAAAAGAAAAGAACCTATTTCAAGTTTTTAGGATTCAAATAATCTTTCTTGCTGATAGCCAAAAATGAGAAGTTGAAAACACTTCTCAGTTATCACCCTTACTTTGATAGTTGTGAGTGCTATACTATTGCATCTACATCTATTCTAGACTTCTAGACATTTATTTTACTGGTTCATTCTTGTGATTCTCTACTGTTTCCATAATGAGGTGTTGCTTTTTGTAGTTGTGCTATCCTCGCAATTCTTGCATTCGTAAGGGTTGGCTGGCAAACCAGTTTTTCAAGTTGATATTGTTTACAGGACTAATGGGATTTATCATAGAACAGGTGATTTTCATATCCCCTTCAAGAGTGATATTTTCATCATATTAATGCCATCTGTTGCTGATTTTTTTTTTTGCAACTGGTGCAGTATATTAACCCAATTGTGCAAAACTCACAACACCCCTTGAAAGGAAACCTTTTAAATGCTGTAGAGAGGGTCTTGAAGCTTTCAGTTCCCAATTTATACGTCTGGCTCTGCATGTTCTATTGTTTCTTTCATCTGTGGTATGTGATTTTGGTATCATATTTAATGTTCTAATTTCCTCATTTTGATATTTTGATTTTTTTCCAAATGCAAGCGGTTGTTCAAATAAATCAACTAAATCCATCAATAAGTGCACATTATAGCACTGACTAAATCTGCTCACTTAGAAACATTTCAACAAGAACTTTTTATGTTTGTCATTTATAAGTTTATGTGTTAGTTGAAAGCTAAGCATGACCTAAGGTGGGAAGTGATGTCAGCATAGGTTATACATTCTCACATTGGATCACAATGAATTGTATTTTGGTACCCAAGTTGGGGCTAGACCACCACTCTTGAACTAGCTTTTGCGATGAAGTAGATGTCTCTGCTAGAGTGCCTATCTCTGGGTGGGGTTGAAGATGTAACTCAGATTCAGTTAACAATAAAACTAGCCTGACCTGATCACACTCATCTAATTTTGACGCGTCAATAGTGATTTCTAACATAAGGACATACCTATGTTAGGAGAATTGGGCCTAATAGAATGTTAGGAATTGGGCCTATTAGAGCAAGAATAATAATAAGTGTATTAGATTAGTATAAATAGAAGAAGCTGGGAGAAGTGAAGGAGGCTTTTGGGACTTTGGTCTGGGACTGGGAAAGATTAGAGAATCACTTTCTCTTCTCTTTGGGAGGCTTCGGCCTTTGTTACTGTTACTGTTCTACTCCTTCAATAAAGATTTTCCATTGTTCTTGATATAATTTCTGCAATTTGTGTATATTCGAGAGGTCTCTTATCATTGGTATCAGAGCCTTCGATCGCTGGTTGAGATACACGCACGCAAAATGGAAGGAAGAATTAACGACCTGGAAAGAAAACAAAAAGAAACATCGGCAACAATGGCGACTATGGCAACGACCTTGGCAGTCATAAATACGGACATTGCAAGGCTGGAAAATAAAGTCCAGAGTCGCTCGCGGAACAGATCGCATGCATCAAACGCATCGCATCGCGAATCTCATCTTCATCACACGCGAAGGTCGGCGAGTCCAGAGGACTCAGAAGAGCGGAGGCATCGCAGAAAATCTGGCGACAGAATGAGGAACAGTAAGCCTCATCCGCGATCGCAGACAGATTCGTGAACTGTTTCTTCGCAAAGCTCTTCACATCACTCTTCGAGTTCCTCATCATTCTTATCATCGCTCTTCGCATCAGAGTTCGCATAATTCCTCATCGGCCATCGATTCACATTCAAGAAAGACACGATTGAAAGGAGAATATTCTTCTCCCCCAAAGGATTCTCACAGTTCGCTATCTTCTTCTAAAGCTGTTTCTCGGAATTCAGCTAGTTCAAAGAAAGGAATTACCGCTATTCCACGAGGATTAAGCGACGAATGGATAGAGAGGATGGAAAGATATTTCCGAGTTCAAGCTATTGCAGAAAAATTTAAGGTAGACGTCGCAGCAGAGGCTATGGGGGTAGCCGAGTGTGGCTGGTTTCAATGGTGGGAATTTGAAAAGAGAGAAGATAGTCGGAAGGCTCTAAAGGAAGACTTGATTAGGGATTTTCCACCTAAACACCGGCAGAAGACAGAGAGGACAGAAAAACAGAACTTCTCGTAGTTCACAAGTTTCTCACCCTGAACAAGATATTGCCCAGTCATTAAAGAAGACCCAGATGGAACTAACTGAACCTGTAATCAAGCAAATGAATAAGAAAGAGGAAATCAAGGACGTAATTAAGGAGAAAAGACAGGTTATTCAATGGCCAGATTATGTTTCTTCTAATCTTGCAGAGGATTTGGATTTAGTTCCCAGCCAAGTTTCTATTGCTGACAAGCTTATTCAACCATGTTCTTTTGAAAATAGAGCCCTAATTGCTTCTGAAACTGTTCTTGTTAAAAGTAAACTATCTTTACAACCAACGGAAAGGTTTTCAGAGAAATTATGCATTGTAAAAAATAGATCTGGTACAGAGGCTCGGGAGGAGGAGGTTGGGCTTGTTTCAGGAGAATCTGCTATCATTTTTGGAAACCGCAAACCGATTCGTGATGCTGACAAATCTAGTCATTTCCAACATCTGGGCAGAAATCCATTGCAACTTGCTACCTTAAGTGTTAAAAACTTGTCAGAAGTTCAAGGGATAGAATTGCATCCAATTGTTGAGAGCATGAGAAGCTGCCCCAAGCTTGGCCTAGAAGGATATCTAAATGTGAAAGTATTATTGTATCTAGGAATATGCTTTAGGAATATGCTCTAGAATATGCTTTAGGAATATACTCTAGACATTATTATTGTATAGCATCTTATATAGGAATATTCCATCTTTGTAATATATATTCGTGAGAGTAATGATGATATTCTCATTTACACGATGACTATTCCCGAGTCCACACTTTCGACAAATATTCCACAAGTTACTGTTCATGACCCTGGTTCGCCTGCCCCTGTCGACCGAACATCCGAAGTCCGCACGCCCAAATCATCGCGCGTGAGTTACACGCGCCGTCGGAAGCTTCCGCAGCCAACGCACGCTCCGGCGCGTGACGCCGTGTTTCTGGCCGGAGATTTGATCGGAACTCTTCGCCTGAGACTCGCTTGAAAATCCTCTACCGGGTATACTTTACTTCTCTCTCAAGGGACGGGTATCTGTGGTTGCCTGGTTGGTCGCTGGGGTCTGGCATCGGACTTCTGCTGCTTCCTCTGGTTGTTCGCATCTGCTGGGGTATCGCATGGGATATTTGTGAACGATCACAGGCTTTTTCACTGATTCTTTGCATATCTGCTGGACTCCGTAGCAGTCAGGCCAAGCAAATTAGACACAGAGTATTTTATTCACCAGCTTTTAAATCCACAAACGGGAAAGCTGCGGTGAGTCCAGTTTTCACTGAATATTTCAAGTGTTTTATGTTATTTTATTTTTAACCCCCTTCTAAAAAAAAATGTCTTGTACGAGTGGATTTGACAGAGGAGTAATATGCAATTACTGTAAGAAGCCCGGACACTTGATCAAAGAATGTAGAAAATTGCTGTTCAAAAATCAAGGAAATCAGCTTGCTCATGTTGCTTCCGCTACCAGTTCATCCGATGGATCAATTGCTATTTCTTCAGACGAGTATGCCAAATTTATTTGCTACCAAGAAACTCTAAAGCATTCCTCTGTCCCTATCTCGGTAACCGCTAATTCAGGTATTTCAAACACGTGTCTTGTTTCCTCATCCTCGAAATGGGTCATTGACTCAGGTGCCACAGATCATATGACCGGTAATCCTAGTCTATTCTCGTCATTTCATTCATATTTACCTACTTCTAGTGTCACTTTAGCTGATGGATCTACCTCACCCGTTCTTGGATCTGGTACTGTTGTTCCAACTTCTACATTACCATTATCGCCTGTTTTGAGTCTTCCTAATTTTGCATTTAATCTGCTTTCCATCAGTAAAATCACTCGTACTCTTAACTGTTCTGTAACATTTTTCCGGGATATTGTGTGTTTCAGGATCTGTTAACGATGCAGATTATTGGTAAAGGACATGAGTCAGCTGGTCTATATATTTTGGATACATCCATCACCAAAGGTATCTCTTGTCTTGGGGTTGGGACTTTGTTAGATGCTCATTACCGATTAGGACATCCATCTCTCCCATTAATGAAGCAAATAAATCCCCAATTTAATAAGACGACCTCTTTACAATGTGAGTCATGTCAATTTGCGAAACACCATCGTACTAGCTTAGGCCCGCGAGTTAATAAACGAGCAAATGCTCCATTTGACCTTGTTCACTCTGATGTTTGGGGTGCTTGCCCGGTTGTGTCTAAAGCTGGTTTTAAATATTTTGTTACCTTTGTTGACGACTATTCTCGTATGACATGGTTGTATTTCATGAAACGTCGATCTGAGTTGTTCACTCATTTTTCTTCCTTTTGTGCTGAAATTAAAACTCAGTTTAACGTTCCTGTTCGGGTGTTAAGAGGAGACAATGCCCAAGAATATCTATCTGCTACATTTAAGTCATTTATGCTTCAACATGGCATTATTCATCAAACTTCATGCGTTGATACACCTCCTCAAAATGGAGTTGCGGAACGAAAGAACCGACATCTGTTAGAAACTGCAAGGGCTCTTCTATTCCAAATGAATGTGCCTAAACAGTTTTGGGCAGATGCCGTGTCTACTGCATGTTTTTTGATAAATCGAATGCCATCTTCTGTTTTGAATGGTAAAGCTCCTTATCATTGTCTATTTCCAAACAGAGAGCTTTTTCCTATCCCACCTAAAATATTTGGTTGCACTTGTTTTGTTAGAGATGTTAATCCTCATCTAACAAAGTTAGATCCGAAATCATTAAAATGTATTTTCTTGGGTTATTCTCGAGTCCAAAAGGGGTATAGATGTTTTTGTCCGAGTACTGGTCGGTATCTTGTTTCTATTGATGTATCATTTCATGAAAATACACCTTTTTCATCATCTAAGGCAGATATTCGTGAGAGTAATGATGATATTCTCATTTACACGATGACTATTCCCGAGTCCACACTTTCGACAAATATTCCACAAGTTACTGTTCATGACCCTCGGCCTCCCGTACATTTGGTATACACCCGTCGACACAAAGCACCTGATCACCCTCCACCGGCGATACCTGTGATTACTTTTCTTGATACTAGTTCGACTCCGATCTCATGTCCTGAACCAGTATCTGCATCTTCAGATCTTGTTTCCACATCAGATCTTGATCTCCCAATAGCAGTACATAAAGGTACACGGTCTTGTACTCGTCCTATTTCTTCATTTGTGTCGTACAATCAGTTATCTCCTGCTTCATGTTCTTTTATTGCTTCCATTGATTCTATTTCTGTTCCCAAATCTGTCAAAGAAGCTCTGCCTCATCCTGAATGGCGTCAAGCCATGGTAGAGGAAATGAATGATTTAGATCTTAATGGTACATGGGATTTGGTTGACTTACCTACAGGGAAGAAATCTATTGGATGTAAGTGGGTCTTTGCTGTTAAGGTTAACCCAGACGGATCCGTTGCTCGGTTGAAAGCCCGATTAGTTGCGAAGGGTTATGCTCAAACCTATGGTGTTGATTATTCTGACACTTTTTCTCCTGTTGCTAAATTAACATCTGTCGGGTTACTTATCTCACTCGCTGCAATTCATGATTGGCACTTACATCAATTGGACATTAAAAATGCATTTTTGCATGGTGACCTTAAGGAAGAAGTCTATATTGAGCAACCTTCGGGATTTGTTGCTCAGGGGGAGTATGGTAAAGTTTGTCGACTTCGCAAATCTCTTTATGGTCTGAAACAGAGTCCTCATGCATGGTTTGGGAAATTCAGTCAATCAATTGAACAATTTGGAATGATAAAAGGCAAATCAGACCACTCTGTATTTTACAAACAAACAGAATCAGGTGTCACATTGCTTGTGGTATATGTTGATGATATTGTGATTACAGGGAGTGATAATGCAGGTATTTTGGCCCTTAAGAATTTTCTGCATAGTCAATTCCAGACGAAAGATCTTGGCTCTTTGAAATACTTTCTGGGAATTGAGGTAACACGAAGTAAGAAAGGCATATTTCTATCTCAACATAAATATGTACTTGACTTACTAGCTGAGACAGGGAAATTAGGGGCAAAACCAAGTACAACACCCATGGTTCCCAACGTGCAACTCACTCAAGAAGGCACACCGTTTGAAGACCCAGAAAGATATAGAAGACTGGTTGGAAAGCTTAATTATCTCGCAGTCACCCGTCCAGATATTGCTTATTCTGTGAGTGTAGTGAGTCAATACATGTCATCTCCGACCATTGATCATTGGGCTGCTGTAGAACACATATTATGTTACTTAAAGGGAGCACCAGGACGAGGTATTGTTTATCAAAACCATGATCACATGAGAATAGAATGCTTTGCAGATGCTGATTGGGCCGGTTCTAAAGATGATCGAAGATCTACATCTGGCTATTGTGTCTTTGTTGGTGGTAATCTTGTATCCTGGAAGAGTAAGAAACAGAATGTGGTTTCTCGTTCTAGTGCTGAATCAGAATATCGAGCTATGGCACAATCCGCATGTGAGATAATATGGATACACCATTTATTGAATGAAATTGGATTGAAGACACCAATGCCTGCTCAGTTGTGGTGCGATAACCAAGCTGCTATACACATAGCAAACAACCCCGTATTTCACGAGAGAACAAAGCATATTGAGGTTGATTGCCATTTTATTCGAGAGAAGATACAAAAAGGATTAATCTCTACCGGGTATGTGAAGATTGGAGAACAACTTGGAGATTTATTCACTAAAGCTCTAAATGGGATTCGAGTTGATTACTTATGTAACAAGTTGGGCATGATAAATATCTATGCTCCAACTTGAGGGGGAGTGTGAAAGTATTATTGTATCTTGGAATATGCTTTAGGAATATGCTCTAGAATATGCTTTAGGAATATACTCTAGACATTATTATTGTATAGCATCTTATATAGGAATATTCCATCTTTGTAATATATATATAGGGCCTTAACCCTCTAATGAAATACACAGAAAATCCTTCTCTTCATCTTCAATGTTATTCTAGTTTATATTTCAACACTAAAATTGGGAGACCTCACTGCAAAGACTGCTCATAGCTTATCACGTCCTGATGTTTTTGACATCTTCACAAGAGTATTACAGAAGATGGCTCTCAAGAGTTATCCGCAAGCTCTAGGCGAAGTTGTTGCACCAAATTTTTTAGAAATACTCTATGGTAACCAGGTCCATTTTCTGGCAAGATATTCTGAAATGTCAGGAAGTCATATGGGACAGAACAGCCCTGGTTTGTGGACTTATGGTCCTTTGGAAATTGTTACTTCCTTTAAATCTGCATTGGATATTCCTGCAATTCAGCTGATGGGTGCATTACTCAAGGAAAATAAGCATGTTCTTAAAGATGACACCTGGGTATGCAGTATGACTACTGCGGGTAAAGAGATCAGGACTACAAATGACATGAAATATAACACATTGAGTGTAATCTACAGTAGACTAAATGTTAGTGGTCCTAGGTGGGTGAGATATAATGGAAATCCAGTTTTTATGATTGCCCTACTAAAAGACTCCTCCAACGATTTGGCTAAAGATGAGGGTGGTTGTAAGCCATGCTGCCCAAAAGGCAAAGAAGATATTGCAGAGTTTCCTTCTGGCAATTGTATATCCCTAGTAGCAGCAGCAGATGCTCTAATTGCATGGAGTGAAGCAACTGAAACTCAAGGATTTGAGTTATATCCTGAAGCAAGAGCTATTAGCAAATGGAAGAGTGAGCAATGGATGATGGGGGAAGATCAGTACCAGCATGAACAAAGACACAGGACTAATATGGATGCTTGGAAGGAAGAGGAGCTAATGCTGTTTTTGCTGGAAGTGGTGAGAAGGAAGATTCAAGTCATGAAGTTCAGGATCCTGAAATTTGAAAGATACTGAGAAGGAAGAGGTGCAATGAAGAAAAAGAAGCAGAAGATCTGGGTTGTCTCCTACCGCCCACCTTGAGGGCAAGGTGGATGTTTAGGGAGGGAGTATTGTTAGAGACCTACCTATGTTAGGAGAATTGGGCCTAATAGAATGTTAGGAATTGGGTCTATTAGAGCAAGAATAATAATAAGTGTATTAGATTAGTATAAATAGTAGAAGCTGGGAGAAGTAAAGGAGGCTTTTGGGACTTTGATCTGGGACTGGGAAAGATTAGAGAATCACTTTCTCTTCTCTTTGGGAGGCTTCGGCCTTTGTTACTGTTACTGTTCTACTCCTTCAATAAAGATTTTCCATTGTTCTTGATATAATTTTTGCAATTTGTGTATATTCGGGAGGTCTCTTATCATTTATGTGTTAGTTGAAAGCTAAGCATGACCTAAGGTGGGAAGTGATGTCAGCATAGGTTATACATTCTCACATTGGATCACAATGAATTGTATTTTGGTACCCAAGTGGGGGCTAGACCACCACTCTTGAACTAGCTTTTGCGATGAAGTAGATGTCTCTGCTAGAGTGCCTATCTCTGGGTGGGGATGAAGATGTAACTCAGATTCAGTTAACAATAAAACTAGCCTGACCTGATCACACTCATCTAATTTTGACGCGTCAATAGTGTATTTGATTTCTAATAAGTACTACTCCCTCTGTCTCTTTTTTTGTCCATCTCAAGATTATCCTCTCATTTTCTTTTAAGGAAAGATTTGTGTGGTTCATACTCTTCCCCCCCATTTCTAAAATAATTGTCATTCACGCAATTTTGTTTTCCTAAGAAGTAAGAACCCTAGTAAAAGAAAATGAGAACCTAATTTATGGTAGGAGGTGGTCTATACTCTTCACCCATTTCTAAAAGAATTATCATTCATGCAATTTTGTTTTCTTAAGAACCCTACCAAAATAAAATGGGAACCTAATTTAGGGAAGTAGGGAATATATACTAATCAATATATTGATTAACACTTATATTTTTGCAAGGACATTGAAGTGAATTTTTAACACTTATGCTTGCTTTGGGACTTTGACAAAGAGGACTATTCATGTGTGTCATTTGTCTTTATGATCTCAACCTAATCATCTTCACATTCTACTATTACACAGGCTAAATATACTTGCAGAGCTCTTGCGGTTCGGTGATCGTGAATTTTACAAAGATTGGTGGAATGCCAGAACAATCGATGAGGTGGGTTGTGTATGTGCACATTCATGTTGTGTACTTTTCAGTAGTTATTTCAGTGTTCGGAAGCTGATCAAATCCTTTATTTGCTTGCATATCCTGGGCTGCTTTAATCAGTACTGGAGAATGTGGAATATGGTATGTTTTCTACTTTCTGCATAAACTCTTTTCCTATCATTTCTCTACTACTGAAGATGAAAGCACTAAAATTGGTTAATTTGTGTAATTGCGTAGTTACGATGCTATAGAAATTAAGTATCTTTAATTGGTTGGTCTTTGTAATTGTGTAGTTACGATGCGATAGAAATTAAGTTTCTTTGCAATCAACTTGCTTAGTTGAATAGATTTCACCGTTTTACATTTGCACAATTCTTTTTTTACTTTCGAGGCCTAAAACTGTTGTTGCTGATAAGAAATACTAGATACCTCTATCTAACACTGATGGAGGAGTTAGATAGCAGGTACTTAGTTGTTAAGTTGTCATCATTGATTTGTATATCGCTCAATTTTTATTATTGCAGCCTGTTCACAAGTGGATTGTTCGCCATATCTATTTTCCCTGCATAAGAAGTGGCGCACCAAAGGTACATATGCGTATATATTTTCCCTTGTAATCACAAAGTCTTGGATATATAGTCACAAGTTAAACATTTTCTGTACAAAGTCCAAACTCGGTGATGTGAAGTTGTCAAATATATATGATACACTTATTACTTGATACATGTAAAGCTACATAAGGAGATAATTTTATAACTACCATTCACGGCTGTATACAGCTGTGTATTCTAGAAGCCTCTTCTAGAGGTCCTTTAACACTTGTCTTTATTAGAAGACCTTTTAATATATACTCCCTCCGGGCCTTAATGAAGTTTACACTTTGACTTCACACATATTAAGGAAATAAATTTGACTTTACTATAGAGTACACTGTTTGACACTGTATGACACTGTTTGACACTGTTTGTTGTAGATTTGTTTGCCAAATAAGGCAAATAAAGAAGTGTAAAGTTTAATATGGGACGGCTCAAAAAGGAAAGTGTAAAGTTAATTAAGGACCGGAGGGAGTAGTTGACTTGTCCACAATTTTCTCACCAAATCGGGTCATCATAAATTTGTTACACATGAGTAATGTTTGATAAAGCGTAATGGAATGGAATCAAATATATGTTCCGAGTGTAAACCTACATTACACACCCATTTGATCTGCCAAGTGCCAACCTACACCATACACTCATATAGTCATGAGATAACCTTTGCACATGGAGAAATGACTTGTGTGCTCAACTCAGAGCCTCATGGGTAATTGTGCTTGATGACTTGATGAACTTCTTATCCACTGACTGATATTCAATATTCATTTCTTGGTGCAGGGAGTGGCGGTTTTGATTTCCTTTTTCATATCTGCTTTTTTCCATGAGGTATATGGTGTTCCCTTTTGCATACCTAAACTTTTGAGTCAGTTCATGTTTATCATGACATAGAAATGTTGTTTGTTCATCTGAAGCTCTGTATAGCTGTACCCTGTCGGATGTTCAAGTGTTGGGCATTCATCGGAATAATGTTCCAGGTGTGCATCTTTCTTGCATGACAAAACCACTCTACCATTAGAAAATGACTAGAAATTGAGAATATATTGCCTGATCGGTGAATTGTGTTGTCTTCTGTGCATCAGGTTCCGCTGGTCATCCTGACTAACTTCTTGCACAACAAGTATAGGAGTTCAGTGGTATGTTTTTCAACTGAAATCATATTCTTCAGCTATCTGAAATGCCCATTTACCCTATATGTGAGAACAAAATGATTTAGGCGGGAAAAATGTTTTTTAAGAAAACTCTTCATATAGCAACAACCACTCAACCAGCATGTTAAGTATATCATTGATCTGTATGTGACTTGTTTGCAGGTGGGAAATATGATATTTTGGTGCTTCTTCAGCATCTTTGGGCAGCCCATGTGTGTGCTGCTTTATTATCATGACCTGATGAACAGAATGCAGGGAAAATAGTAGAGTTTTTTTCAGCTAGGCATTGTAGATTAGTTAGCCTTTTTTACATTATTTTTTTTGCAAATTAACCCTCTATGTACTATGCTTAGCATATGAGGGTTTCTGTTGTTCCATCTTATGTACATTGGCTCACCATAGTGGGTGTTTTGTATTTTGGCTCACAATATGTGGGCAGTCGGTCGGTGCTTTAGCTCGTGTAATTATATAAATATGTTGTGCATGGCTAGTTAGACGCAGTGGTGCATACAAAAAGAAGATGGTCGGAACTTAAAGATCCAAAACAAATCAACTTCTTAGACCCAAAAGTCCAAACTGCGACCTTAAACTAACAAAATCAACTTTAATGTTGTGCTTTGGGTGTTTTACACTGCACGACAATAGCACACAAATTGCACGGCAATTGAAAACGGTTGCAGCAAATCAACTTCTTCTTCTTTTGCTAAAAATGTCTAGATTTTTTCATTCATTAGCATCAATTATTAATGATGATTGTTAGATGATATTGAAAATTCAATTTACTGAAGATAACGTGAATTTTATTCATGAATTAGTTTAAACTGTTATGTGTGATGGTGAAAAAGTAACCTTATAAAGTTTTCACTCAAATTGAACCGTGGAGTTGTTGATCGGTGATTGATGAATTACTATTTTGCACACACTATAAGTATGTATATAGGTTAATTGTCAAAGAAACCCGTGCTAAGAAAGAAGGTGCCTCCTACCCTGTGCAGAGATGAAGGAAGATCGATGTGGCACCATGGCCGGTGGCTTATGGCGGCAGAGAGGAAGGTGCCATGGCCGTCCATAGAGAGAAGGCGTTGTGTCTTATGGGTTGGATGATCACATTTTTGTCCATACAAACTTCATAAATATTTATGCCATTCTTTCATAATAATGAATCAGTTTTGATCTTTTTTACAAAATGATAACTTTGAAAAAATGGCAACTTTCAAAATAACATAAAAAGTTAACCATCTAAAAGTTTAAAAGTAATGTAAACCTTCCCCTAAATTTGGTACATGAGGGTAGGGATGGACTCGGGTCCGGGCCGGGTCCGGGTCGGGCCGGGTCCGGGTCGGGCCGGGTTCGGGCCGGGCCTAGGCCCGGATGGGCCGGCGGTTCAGAAATGGTGGACCCAGGACCGGCCCGGGTAACCACCGGGTCCGGGCTGGGCCGGGCCCATTATCATTTTTTTACCTCTTCCTAATTAACCCCCCTCCCACCCCCAACCCCCCAAACCACCCCAAATGGCCTAAAATACCCAGCCCAACCCGAAAATTTAAAAAAAAAATTGGAAAAAAAAATAGTTTTTGGCCCGAACCGGACCCGGGCCCGGCCGGGTCGGGCCTTGTTTTGGGTGACCCGAGCCCGGACCAGAAAACCCACGGGCCGGGCCTACTCGGACCGGTCACTGACCGGGCAACCGGGTCGGGCCGGGTCGGAACAGTACCGGTCCCGGGCCGGTTCCGGGTCGGGCCACCCGGGCCGGTTCCGGGTCGGGCCACCCGGCCCGAGTCCATCCCAACATGAGGGAGTGGTGTGATTATTAGAAAAATATGATTACAGTAAAAAAAATAAAATAAGAATGGTTAACAACCATTTATCAATTTTAGTTTGAAACAATCTTATTGGAATCCATCCAAAAAAAATATGATATTAACGGAATTTAGAGAGTAAATATTTATCATCATAGAGTTTGGCATGTAGGAGTGTAGGACCTTGTAGTCAGACACCCAATTGATTGCAAAGTTGCGCTTTATTACATGATTATCCAAAAAAAGAGAAACTTGTGAGTAACCCAGGAATCCATATGCTCGCTTCTCCGATAGTCCGATTAAGCCCATAATTTTCCAATCAATCCTAGCCTGATGCCCTGAAATGATTCTCATGTTTCAGACTTTCAGAAGATAAGGTTTGGGTTCTCTTTTAATTTCAAAATCACCTAACCATGAGATTCTGAATGATTGTTTCTCCATTTTCACTTTAGTTCTTTATTCATTAGCTGATAACATAGAAACCGGAAAAGTATTGAAAAAATTCCATGAATATTATTACTATTAGAAAATTGTTGGACAATAATATTACCAACCATTTAATGTTATTTATAAAAAAAAATCTCTCTTTAAAGGTGTTCCTAATTTATCCTTCCATAATGTACGTATAACGGTTTCATAAAGCTCTCTGCATAAAGATGCTCCTTGGAACCCTAGTAGTAATAATGCGTTTGGACTTTGGAAGGATTGTGTTCACTACTTGAAGTATTGCAACCCCTCTCATCCAAAAGTTACCATCCCAATATATATATTCACCTGGTCCTTAGTGGCTACAATTAAACATAACTTTTTAAACCTACACTGTAGTAACTGAAATTAAGTTACTTCTAAATAATTGCAATTCGATCTAATACATCTCTCACATAAAAGTGACTTCAAATACACCTCTAGTCCAAAAGTTACTAACCAAAACCTGTATTTATATTACTTCCGATTATTCAAAGAAACTCCTCCGCCAAGTCCATTTCCAACAATCAAAATATCAGAAACACTTATTCATCAACAACTAATATAAGATCATTAAGATGAAAAGAATTTCTTCCTCTGCTTCAATGATTCTTTGTGCCACACATAAATCGTCTTCCAATTTTGTATGACTTTTATTAAATCACTGATCTCCATTCTACATGTTTTTCAGTGCTAAACACCGCTTATTCATTTCCACAAATTGAACCTCGACTTTTGTTAACAGCATAACCGTCTGGGGGTATTCGTGTCCATTCCTCCCATTCTTTAATGACATCCGTATTTTTTGTTACCCTAATATATCACTAGTCACTTTTTTGTCCATTTAATTACTAGTTGTAATATATATGTAAAAAACTCAAAAGTATTTCCTACACAATACATATGTGATCCCTAATTCCCTATATGGTTTTTTCTTTTGTTTTTTTCCTCATTTCCACCGTGCACTAAATGCTGACCAAGGAGCAACAGAAGTCATCATCCACCATCACAGCTTAACAAGCTATTGTCTTCCTCAAGTTGCCAACTTTGCACATCTGGGATAATGAGAAATCCAGTAAGCCAAAAAGCGCGAAGATCAAATTATTGCACTCAATTACACGTTGGTTCAAAACTAGCTTAAACCACATATCAGTATATCACATATCAGACCAGTACCCCGACGAGTTAAAAGCCCTGTCCAGGCTAAAAAACGATCCAGAACAGGACCCTCTGTTTTGGGAGAGCTTGTATTGGAAGGGGGTATACTGTAGCAGTTAAATATTAAGGGGCAACATACCACAGCATAATGGTCAAATTTACAGGTTTATAATATTGCCAAACACATTTTAATTTCACGGCACACTGATACGGCTCCGCATACCAGAATAATCAAATCAGCCTGCACACGTTACAACAAACAATCTGCGTCTCTATTCTGACGAGACCCACATCTGACTCTTCATGGGTTTTCCTTAATAGGCAAACTCAAATTCCAAACACAGATGAGAGTCAAAAAATTTACAACACTGGAGAGTTAGCCAGTAAGCCGGACGCTTTCTATTCATCATCCAACCGAAGGGTTTCTACACCTTTGACAGTGGACTCATAGTTCTTACTCCCAGAAGTAGCAGTGTGTTTGAAGGGGTGGTCCGAGGAGCTTCTTTGTCCACCGCCTGTTTTCTGCAGGGTCCCTGGGCTTACATCCGGGGTTCGTGACCGTGTGGGGTCAGATTCATTCCCAATGGTTAATGTTTCACGCCCACTAGAAACTGCACCTCGCCTGAATGACCCACTCGATCGTCCCATAAAGCTGGAGCTAGATACCTGTCACGTTCACATTCACTTTAGTTATTTACTTATGTGAGGTACAAGTCTAACCATCTAACCAAATACCCCACTGGCCTACCCTGCACTTTCTTTTATCTATTTATTAAGCACAATTCCAACTTTTTTGGGCACAAAAAGGAAGAAGTTGAGGTTGAAGTTGATCAAACGAAGTACATGCTTACTGTACTTTTGCCAAATAAAGCTACATACGATAAATTTATGACTAACAAATAAATTTAGAAAATGTGATTCATGAATCATGATTTATAACAGGTGCACAGTTGTACCTTACTAAGATTAAATGTTGTATGCTGGTCAACATACTAATTTTTTTAGGAAGGTAATAATGTAATATATATATACATATATATATATAATATAATAACAAAAAAAAATCAGAATAAAAGATGTTGTTCATTGGTCAAACTAACTCTTTTTAGGGAGGCAGGTATCATAAGACGGTGATTCAAAGTCAAAACATGTCATAAACTTACCATAGCATCTCTGCTTGCAGAATCTATTCGAATGGGACTCTTCTGCTTAGACAAACTGGTTGCATTTACTAGTGGCCCAGGAATTCGCCTTCGGGAAGAATCGCCTAATTGTCTTGCATCATCTTCACCTGCGAAAATTAAGTTGTCTTGGGGAGTTGATAATGACAACTAAGCAAGAATATTTGACCTTGCAAGTGCTGCCGCATTTGAGTTTATAGGTTACATAAAAGACATTGAGAGGGGTTTAGACAGAATAAATTACCAGATTGCTGTTCAGCATTAGGGACCAACGGAGGCATCCCAGAGCTGGTTCCAGCCCCAGCACCCTTGAGAAAGCAACAATAAGTAGACGTGACAAAACAACATAAATGATTAGATTCAAACCACAACACTAGAATTACTACTTACAAGTGCTCGAGAGGAAGCAGGAGCTGAAATCTGGGATTGCTGCTGATACTTCAATATAGTCCAATCAAAGATGTAGTCAAACTGGAATCCTGCAAAGGCAATATAAGCATTAATGATATTGACTATTTGACCCTAGAGCCATCTATTTCACAACCACCACCAGCCCAAACAAAGAGTCTGGTTTAACTAATATATAACATTTGAAATTTGATTACGGACAACCATCATAAATCATGAGTCATGCTTGTAATTTTTAGAATCTGTTCCATGGTGTAGCTAAATTTGTCATGTGTTAAATTTTTCTTGGAGAATCACACAAAAATTAGCTTTGTTTGTAAAACTGCACTTTTTCTGGGAGCAAAAAAAGTGTTTGAAACAGGACTCCTTTGTGGGATGAATAAAAGCATTTGTTTATCTGTTAAACTGGATAATGAATAATGCATATTACAATTAGAATAGATAAACCAAGATTGTAACTAGTTACTAGCCTTTAGCTAATTCTATTTACCTTCACGGATAAAGAGGTCACGGAAAATTCTCTTCAGATATGCATAATCTGGTTTATCATCAAAGCGAAGTGAACGGCAGTAATGGAAATAGGAAGCAAATTCTGAAGGATAGCTACGACACAAGGCCTGCAAAGGAGAACTAACACTCATGCATTTACAAAGCCAAATATTAATTCTAAAAGCAAAAGTTAGCACGTAAACCACCTCAATAGACGTTGAAACCTTCTTTTCACTGATTTTCTCATATTTTTGTTTCTTAGTTCCTGCTTTGAGTCCCTGCCAGGGAAGACTGCAATGTATAGAAGTTAAGTTAGGAGATGCTAATGAATGAACACAAGTCAATAATGGAGTGAACAACAACTATCACCTTCCCCTTAGGAAGTACATTAGGACATAACCAAGAGATTCCAAATCATCCCTCCTGCTCTGTTCTGTGGTGCATAATAGGAAAGATTGGTTATAAGAGAGGATAGAAGGATAACAGCAGTTCAGCACAAGCACTGCACTTACCAATACCAAGGTGAGTGTTCATGCTAGCATATCTAGCAGTTCCTGTCAAACTTTTGTTCTCCCTGCATCGTTGAACAGTCATCAGATCATAGTAGAAGTAATCCAGACACCAAAGTGCATCAATGTACCAGGGGGGTAATTAATTGAAGCAACATTTAATAGCACATGAAAAATGGCGGAGACTGTAAACTTCCAATGCGCTTATGCACTATGTGTGTAATTATAAAAAATGTCAAGAAAGTATATGCTCATTCTCATCAAGGACTCCAAAAAGTACAGGTAATGGCCGTCTAGACCATCCTAGAAAAAAATGAGTGCATGTGCATCATTCTCCCTACATATTAATCCTTGTCAGTTTACTATCACATGATCAACAAAATTAGTTTTTACTTATCAAATTCGAATTCAGGTTTTGCCCTTTAACAGATTTTTTAGTGTAGTCTACATATCCAAATTCTCAACATTAATATAAATTTAAAAAATGTCAGTGAGGGATTCACTTTATGATCAGTTGATCATTCAACCATCATAAACCATAAATGAAAGAGTTGAGTTGGGCAGAGGTAGTATGGTTAAGCAATACAGGAAAAGATGGGAAAGCAAGTTAAAAACTTTCCACAAACTATAATACAGTCATAGAGAAAAAGATGAAAGAATACTGCAGCCCTAAATTTCACTTTTTGTCAAAAGGTAGTTTAAGGAAAAATATGTAACAGATTATTCACTGATGTTCAATCATCGTAACGCAGAAATATCCTGTCATATGATAAAATGGCAATCTTAGACAGTATAAAAATAATATGAGCTAGATCTAGAAGACACAAGAATAGCAGCAGTTAGTACAGAAATACAGCCTTAAACTCCTATACCATGTAGCCAAACACCGTACCTGTAAGGAATGTGCTGGTGAGTAGAGGAGTCTCGATACTTCTTAGCCAGGCCAAAGTCAATTATATATACCTGCACATAGAAAAATAATGTCATGTTCAAGACAAACCCATAGCAAACAAACACATTCATATGACCACCAAATAACATCGGGACTATGTTGCACGCAAATGTGGGAATCATCGGGAAATGGGAAACGCCATTGTTTATTAGAAAAATAACTATTTGGAGTGTTTCCGTGGAGTGTCCGAAACGGAAACGTACTCTTTCTTGAGAGTTTCCGACACGGAAACATACTCTTTCCGGAGGGTTTCCGAAACGGAAAACGTACTCTTTCCCGAGAATTTCAGTGCTACATAGCCTCAGGATAGTACGTATGCACAGAAAAGATCAGAACCTGATTTGCACGTCTTCCCAATCCCATGAGAAAATTGTCAGGTTTGATATCTCGATGCAAAAAGGATTTAGTGTGTACAAATTCAACACGGTTTATCTGTAGCAAAGACAAGAACATCGCATCAACAGTTTGAAATTGAATTTAAGTTCCAAGAACATATGATTAAAAATAATTAACCATTTGATCTGCAAGCATCAGAACTGTCTTCAGAGAAAGTTTCCTACTACAAAAATTAAAAAGATCTTCAAGGCTCGGTCCAAGTAAATCCATAACCAGAACATTGTAGTCTCCTTCAACACCAAACCATCTCACATTCGGTATTCCAGCTACAACATAAGAAAAATTACATGAGATCTCCAATAGTATCTTCCAAATAGGGTATGTTGGGATGAAATAAACTACTAATTCTATTACTTCCTCCTTGTAGAATTCTGTATAACTTTGACTCATACAGCAACTGAGGATGCTTAGTCTTGACATTTTCCTGCAACATACAAAATAAAATGAATTTTGTAGCACAGTTAAAGAAGGTACAGCTACTATGATGAAGTTTAAAGACTGTATTGGGTCAAGCATCCAACAAAGTTTTCATTCTTTGACAAGGATAAGAGTATATCCAATTTTGGCAATTGGTGATAATGGGTCTAATTTCCATCATTTGCAATGGAGCCAAAGATTCATTTTTTTGGCTTGAGATTATGATGGAATAAAGCAAAATGGCTCACTAAACTGTTTGTGCTTCTTTGTTATGGAACAGCAGTCAGTCCATGCAATTTTGGACACGATTTTCACTATGGGTCATCCGGAAACAGTCTCTCTGTGCTTTAGTACAGGGGTAAGACTGCGTACATCCGACCCCCCCTTACCCCACCGTAGGTGGGAGCCTTTGCGGCACTGGGGTAAATGAAAATGAAAATGGTGATAATGGGTCTAATGTGTGACCAATTGATTATTTGCTTAGTTGAATGACACAGAATCACCAATTAATGACCAAATACATCTGCAATCTGAAAAGAGATTCATTCTGCGATAAGATACATCTGAATCCCTTGGTTCAATTTCACAATAACCACAGCAATGCAATTAATATGCTACAACAGCTCAGTGAGAATGTGAATCAGGTAAAAACAAAAAAAAAAACTGAGATTGTATACTGTGTATGTAATAAATGCCATTTCACAATGGGGAAATTTTACGCTTCCATAAACAGCCACAACTGCAAAAGCTTCTCAACATGTTAAGATGTGTTTAAACTGTGACATCAAAGAAAATGGACACTTTTGAATTAAAGTGAGGGAAAATTAAGAAGGTTGCTACTTTCAACTTTGTGCTACTTCCAGTCTTAATGTAAATGCTCTCTTACAAATCAAATTAAAGCATGAAAAACAACTATAATTCAGTAAAATACTGAAACCAATATCAATAAAGGCAATTCTCAAAAGCCTCGACTATAGTATACATTACTTTAACAAATTCTATGATGCAACACTAGTATAACTAAATTCAAAGTTAGCCCTTGAACCAATAAAGAAAGAACAAAATGTTAATTAATCACTCAACTAAATTTTAATGCAAATCAACTTACAAGCTTAATTGCCAGTTCCTCATTAGTCTGGATGTTAGTACCTGCAACATGAGCCCCCATGATAACAACAATTAATTAATCATTCACCTAATTGACTGAGACTAGAGGGAGAACGTACGAAGAAAAACGAATTCGAAACAGTGAAACTTTCAAGAAAATGGAAAAACAAACCAAGGTAGATCTCTCCAAACGATCCGCTGCCGATTTTGCGTCCGAGTCGAAACTTGCTCCCAACACGCGGCTCCATCCACTGAAGAACGCTAAGCTGAGTGGAGTAAATGCAAATTACGAGGAGATCTGGAATGGACTGATTTGGCGTCTGATTTTGTTCGCTGTGTATCAGAAAAATTAAGTGCAGAAAGGTAGGGTTAGGTTGAAGCAGGTGAGGGGGAGAGAGAGAGAATCGCGTTAAAGTTTCTCTCTCGATATTTATACGCTGAAATGCTTTCCTTATGTTAACGACCTCGTCGTCACGTTTCGGTCCCCGACGGAAATGAGAGTGGGGACTGCGTTTCGGGCTTGGCTTGCTTTGCAGGGACGGAATTCACGCGTGCGCGTGGCGCGTGGGCGTCACTTCATGTAATGCTTCCGTGCAGTGCGCCACGTGACCACTATGGGACCCTGTCACCGCGGAAGGTATTTAAGCCGCGTGCTCTATCACTGAATTACTTTATTTGAACTTCAGTCGCTGTTTCACTGTTTGTGCGCAATTCATCATTTTTCCAATTCCATGTCTTTTTTTTTTTAATTTTTTATTGAAGTTTCTAGCCTCACATACTACGTCCCTCAAAGAATTTCCCGATTTGACCTACACACATATTAGGGAAATAAATTTATCAGGGGATAAATTTTACTGTTTTGACACTGTTTCGAAACCGTTTGGCACTGTTTGACACTGTTTTGCACTGTTTGTCATTGTTTTGATGTACATAACTTCCCATTTAGGGAAATGGGAACTTCTTTTTCGGACTGCTAAAAAAGGAAAGCGGGAAGTTCTTTGCGAGACGGAGGGAGTATATGTTTAATTTTCCCTCCATCCCAATTTGATTTGCAAAATTTCCTTTTTTTGTTGTCCCAAAATGGTTTTCCACTTTCTATTTTAGGTATGTAAATAAGAATAAAGTGACAAATTTATCCTTACTTTTACTTTTTCCACATTAACTTAAAGGCATCTACTTTTAGAAAGATAGGCAAAAGTGTAAAAAACAAGCATCATTTGTTGTCATTTCTTAATCTTTGTGTCGGTCAAAGTTTGCAATTCAATTCGGGACAGAGAGAGTAATTCGTTAAATGTCAATATCCTTGATTGAGATAGATTTTAAACCTATGTTTTTCTTCTTGGGGATGTCACAATGGTATCATCGAACCACAATATGTTTGACTTATGTCTTTTTATTTGTAATAATAATACTCCCTGTTATAATTAAGAGAGGAAGTGTAAATATATGAAAGTAAGATAAAAAAAAGTAAGAGTAATTGAGTATTTTTAAAAAGAAAATTCAACAAACTTTTAAATGTATACAAAAAATAAAGGTTTAGAAAATTTTAAAATACAGGGAAAGTACCAAAACATTGGAAGTCACAGATCTAGCGTTTAGGAAAGGGGTGGAATTCGGACAGATGAAACGGGAATGCAATTGGGCTGTGCATCATGTGGCCCAATTCCAGACGGACGAGTTAAAAAAAATCTGGGCTCGATCAGCTTCCTACTCCTGCAAAAAGAGCTTTGATAAGTCCATTTTTGTACTTATTTTTCTTATCAGAAGTAAGTCATTTTTGTATAGAAAATAGAAAAACAAGACATGTTTTGGATATTTTGGTTCAAGTTTCATGAATTCAGGTGAAAATTACATTCATAATATGTTTGGTGAAATTTCGGGCCAATTGAACACAAAAATAAGTCAATTTGAGTAACAAATAAATCCATATCTAAAGAAGCAAGCACAATATCAAAGTGGTCCAGAAGGGAAATTTGAAAAGCAGAAAATAAAGAACAAGCCGGTCAAATAAGCTCACAGGCGGTCAAACAGGCGGCAAGATCTGACCGCCCTCCAGGTCGCCTATGCTATTTTTGGAAAGTCAACTTTACAACTTTGACCAGAACCGGAAAAGACCGAAGGCTGCCGACACTCAACGAAGGGCGGCCGCCCTTGATGACCGCCTACGGCATAAGACGACGAAGCCAACGACCGGTAGGTGCGAAAAGACGGCAGGCGGCCAGACAAAAGTGGCAGGCGGCCGCCTTCCGTGACTGCCTGCTGCGAAGTGACGTTGCCGCGTTGTTTTGTCGGCGAAAAGAGGGCAGGCGGCCAGACAAATACGACAGGCGGCCGCCTTCCGTGATCGCCTGCGGCGAAGTGACGTTGCCAAGTTGTTTTGTCGGTGAAAAGATGGCAGGCGGCCGGTTGATCACGAAGGGCAACCGCCCTTCAAACCGCCTAAGGGAAAATTTCACCTATAAATAGCCCGATTTTTGTTGAACTCAAACACACAATATCACACCCAACTCAGATAAAAAGGGTGCCTTCTTCCTCCTCAAAGCTCAGATTTCCACCATTGTTGAACCTTCAACTTCAATCTTTCATATCTTTCTCATTGTAGCTCCAATTTGTAAGTTCTTTATATGAAAATTCGTCTTCTCGTCGTGTAGATTCTGAATATGTTGTTTTTATTTTCCAAATGTTGGTGAAACATTCTCTGCATTAATTTTAAGAATTTCATATTTTCCATATTTATTCAAGAAAAATAGTTCTTGTTGTTATATTAATCTCCTACTTAGATAAACTCAATACCTAGTATAAATGATGTTTATTTGTGATAGAAACAAAAGTTTAGATGTTTGGAGTATTCACTTTAATATTTTATTTTGTTCTTATGGTTTATGATCATGTCTTAATTTATATGTAAAGTGTTAAAACTAGTAATGAGTTGTTGTGGTTAATTTATTCTTGGGAATGAGTTGAATTAAAAAATATGAGTTGACCTTGTTTGACTGGAAATTAGGAGTTTAACTAATTTTATGGACTAGTCGTTTAAAATGATTAATTTGATTACTTAATAGATTTGGTCATTTCATTAATTAAACTTTAGAAGATTATTTATAACTTGTCTATGAGATTATAAATAGTTTAAGCCAAACATATTGAGCACATCAATGAAGCCTAGATATAGGATAAATTAATGGATAGAATTTAATCTTTGTCTATGAGGAATAAATTCAATTGTTTAATATGAGAAATTTAATCAATTAAAATGCGAAAAGTTATATTGATCTTGTCTATGAGATTGGAATATAATTTAGGCCAACCATTTTAAACACATCAATGAAGCCTATAAATAGGATAAATTTGTGAAAGTAACTTAAATCTTGTCCAATCTTTAGTTATAAATACTCCTAATTATTAGGTCAAAGCTAAAAGGATGTACCCATATTTTATAATTCAATTCATTGCCCTTCTTTGATCAATCCATTTAGAGTTTAATATTATATTTTTCATTTAGTTTATTTTTGAGCCATCATTAGTATTTGCATAATTTAATTTACTTTATTTTTCAAAGAGTAGTTTAGAAAATCAATCAAAAGTTTTAATTTGGAAAGCTTCCAATAATTTGCGATAACCTGTGTCTGGACTTAAAATCAAGAAACTCCTCCATCATTCCTCAAGAGACACGATACTCGGGGAAAAACCGAAAGGTTAAACTCCATTTTACTACAACGCCGCGTAAGCGGTTATCAAGCTTTTTGGATGGATTTTTTTGGTATTCCCTTTATTAGATTGTAATTTGGTTTTATCAAGTAAGGTTTGGTGACTTGGTCCCCTTGATTTTGTAATCTTTTCTACTTTTAATAATATCTGGTAAATGTCCCCCAACATTTGCCTCCACTGATTTTGGTGGTTTACCTTCCGGGGTAAAAAAAATCAAAACATTGGAAAAGATTTAGCTATTTCGTATTATTTTCATTTTCGGGTTTTTAATTTTAAAAGTTGACGCCTATGAGCTCTAATTCCGCCCATCATGTTGCCTTGCATCCGCCGCCACAACCTTCTTCTTGCGCATCACTTCGCCGTTGCCGCTGCCGTCGAGAGAATCGTCGTGTTATAATCCCACACCGGAAAAGTTTGAATCAACAAAGTGCTATATTAAGACATGAGTTACTCCTCTTATCAGGATGACATTTTAGTATAGAACCTCATGTCTTGACATGGTATCAGAGCTCTCTTTGACCTTCTGGGTCCCTCGATACTAGATCATGTAGGACTGTGGAGTTAATGGTCAAATGGGTAAATCCCCAACACCTGAAATTTGTCCATGACAGGTTGGGATATCTGGACTCCTGAAATTTGGAATTTATCAAAGAAGGCCATTTAATTTTTCCATCAGGTGGTTGTATATTACAAAATTCCAAAGATAATGATACTAGAGATGAAGTAGTATACATGATCTTTGGAAGTATGTAGGGATGGCTTTCATTCGGAATCCTCAAATTCACAATTTGCACATTGTTCTCACACCAAAAATTTATCCAATGATCAACGTCTGGTATAGAACAATCATTAAAGTTGATTGTAAGATTTTCAAGTTTTTTTCCCTTACGAGCACCAATTAGCTTGTTCGCCCAGTCAACAAATTCTTTTCTCTTGTTACGTTGAAGCCAATCGAGGAATTCAAAATCAAGAATGGGTGATTGAGCTCACAAGAATTTCCATCTGATCCCCAAAACACTTGTTCTAGCGGCTTCCTTGGTGTCCAATAGAGAGAGTATATGAACAATCAAATCATCTGGTAATTGATCCATCAATTATTTTTGAGAGCTTTGATTACCAGAGTGAGAAGAGACTGTTTGAGAAGGAGGGACGTAGTTATGAAGTGAAGGAGGTGCAGCGGACGTACGAGTAGAGAGGTGCAGCGGACGTACGGGTAGAGAGAACCAGTGATGCCTGCAAATCCACTAATTACATGAATCACAGAATTGATTCCGTGGTACGACTCAACAAAGCAGACACACCCTCCTACATATACTAAGTTTGAGAATAGGTCGAAGGCGTTGCGCCCCCGATGCCTGTAATCATTGGCTTTACCCGATAGAACTCCCACGCCAGCTCCAGCTATCCTAACGGAAACTTCGGAGGGAATCAGCTACTAGACGGTTCGATTAGTCTTTCGCCCCTATACCCAAGTCAGACGAATAATTTGCACGCCAGTATCGCTGCGGGCCTCCACCAGAGTTTCCTCTGGCTTCGCCCCGCTCAGGCATGGTATCAGAGTCAAATGATCCATAACCATGGTGTGGGCCCCCTTATGAAAAATGACGACAAGATTAAAACAATGACAAACCAACGAAAAAATAATTGATGACACGATCCAGACGAAGTGTCTGAT